GGCTCCGAGTAGTGACAGGATAAATGTGAGGAGTAAGTTAAAGAATACAGGGGTCATTTGGTATTCATGGTTATGCCCATGATTTAATGAGTCGAAATCATTTGTTTTGTTTAAACTAATTACCAGTATTATTCTGTTCATTCTAGACCTTTGTTAAATCATTCGTATATTAGTCCTAAGGCTAAAATGATTAGTAGCCCTAGGGTTGTTAGTACTACTCCTGTGAGGTTTCCGTATTGGATTGCTCATGGAATGGGTAGGAGAAGCGCAATTTCTAGATCAAATAGGAGGAATGTGATGGCGATAAGGAAAAATTTTATGGAAAATGGAAGGCGAGCAGATCCTATTGGATCAAATCCGCATTCATATGGACTGGCTTTATCTGAGTATAGGTTTAGTTGTGGCACCATTCTGAAATTAAAAGTTATGTTTAAGGAAAAAAAAGTTGAGAAAGATAAACTACTAATGTATCCTTAAATAATATAATAATTAAAAGGAAATCAGTTTTATACATCTGAGAATGGTGTAGATATAATTGTACATTTTCAACTCCAAAATTAAGTTGCCAACTATTTTCAGTCATTACATTGGAATACATCCCTATTCTAAAGGCAGCATAAAAATGCCATTTTTAAAAAGGTAAAAAATATGGAAAATATAAGAATATTTATCATTAGTTTTTGTGGCATAGCAATGGACTTCAGTAGTTTAAAATTTGCGGCCTGGATTAGAATCTCCTCTGTGAGTCACTGTAACTTAATCAAGTCACTTAACTTTGTATTACTTCAAAGACCCCCCCCCCCCACTTACAAAATGGGTTTAACAATATCTATCCCATAGGTTGTTAGAGATTAACTGAGTTGCTGTTCGTAAAGTGCTCCATATATTTCTTTCTTGGTAGCTCTAGCTAGCTTGGAACTCCCTGACCAAGGATACACTGACTGCAAACTTAAGAGATGTGCTATCTCTGTCTTCCAAGTGCTGGGACTACCACCCAGCCTGGCAAGTCTGGAAAATTTTAAAGCCTATTGGTTTTAAAGAACATAATAATAATTTTAAAAGTCATTGGATTTAAATAATAGAATAATAGTAGTAACAGCATACTTAATCATATTTAATGTTAGAGAATTAATCTAAGCACTTCACATGTTAATACTCTGTTATTGTGTGTTTTACATTTGAAACTAAAGTAAAAAGATGTGAAGTTGTTTTTTTTGTTACTGTAACAGAATATAATGAAATAATACTTTTGGTTCCCAATATGGGTGAAACAGATAAAAATGGAAGGTAAATTTGTTCCACTTGTCACGTCTTGTTGAACTCAGTCTAGAACTCCACTAAATCTTTTAAAACATTTCACATCAATAATCAGCTTTCATTTACACATTTTCATAGAAGAAAGCAAAATAATTCATAATATCAGAGCCATTTCCATTTATAATTCCATATTTAATCAAAGTATGATTGTTTATAATGGAAAGACTATTGAAAACATTGCTTTATATCCTCTTAATACCTAGCAAGTTGAGAACTGAGAGAAGGATACAATGGTAGGTTATACAGTAATAGTGCCGTTTTACATGGTACCAAGTTTGAGCTAAGATGATCATTGAAATTCAAAGATTCAAGTATTTTTTATGATGTATCATGAGACGGTTTCCAATTGCCACTTTTGTTGTTTTATTTTGTTTATTTTGTTGTCGATGTCTAAGGTTAATTTCAAATCTACATTTGTTCAACTCTAAGATCTTTTTAAAAATATTTTTTATTTTATGTGTATAAGTGAACCCCTGTTGTGCAGTGCTCTCAGAGGTCAGAAGAGGGTGTCAGATCCCCTTGAACTGGACTTACAGACAGTTATTACCTGCCATATGGGTGTTGGGAACTGAACCCAGGTGTTCTGCAAGAGCAGCCAGTGCTCTTAACCACTGAACTATCTCTCCAGCCCTCTCAGCTCTGGTTCCATTTGAGGCATAAAACTATGAATTTATTTTTAATAGTCAGTGTCTTTGAAGTATAACAATACATTATTTTAATAATTTTGCATGCGCTATAGAAATTTTAACTAGGATTTTACAACCATATATTATGAAGATTATCTTTTTTTCTTTACCTATTAGAATATAGACTTGAATTACTAAGTTTAATAATTAAAATTTTAAAGGTGTATGTTTAGCAGTAGTTGCTACTTGTAAAGGAATATTCTGAGCCTTAATTGTTCAGTTAACAAAACACTGCCTCAAAAATAAATTCTCAATAAATATTTGCCTGAAAGTGTTGTATAGGAGCTGAGAAGATGGCTCAGTCAAATGCTTACAAGAGAACTTTAGTCCAATCACCAGAAGCCCTGTTTTAACAAAAAACAAAAAACAAAAAACACTGAGTTGTTGTTATTTATTCCTAGTGCTGGGTAGGCAGATACAGGCAGATCTCTGTATCTTGCTGGCAACACTGCCTATCCTAATCTACAAGCTTCTATCTAGGCCAGTGAGAGTCTCTGTCTGAACAAACAAGGTAGACAGCTCCCAGGGAAGAACACCTGAGATTGTCCTCTGGCGCCTGTATGTATATGCATACATATACATATGTACGTACGTACATGAAGACACATGAATGAGATATAGATGAACAAGATAGAGATTTTTTTAAAGCTAAGGAATAAACTCATAGAATCCCAAAGTTGAAGATACTTAAGAAGTAATTTTAGCCAGTTTTTCAATAAGGCTTTTGGCTGCATCCCCTAGTAAGAAATGTGTATAGCTTCCTAAACACAATATATATCTATCCATCTATTGAAATAAATCTAGACAAAAGCAATGGGTCTTGTTACTAACTGAAATATATTCTGATCTTTCTTTTTAATCTTTGATGATTGCAAACCATTAAATGGTTTAAACTACCCATTACTGTGTTGCAGATGGCATTTTTAAAAAGTACATCAAGAGAAACCTGACCAGATTAATGAATTTATGAGATTAAAATTTTTATAGACACATTGGATTGTTCAAAAGATAATATAACTGTGGTATTTGTCTTAGGACTATGGTACATTTACTCCATTATCACATTGTTCAAAGCCATTTTGAAATTCCTCTTGGAATAAAGTAACTTTAACATTCATAAGTGTTGTTTAGGAGGTTATCATCTTTAGATAATATTTCCTTTTTCTGCCAACAGATGTTTGGAGAGAATGTAGAAAATAAAATGAATAATTAGTCATGCATATTGTCAAATTTTAAGTAGATAAAATAAATTACATTGTAAACTTACCTCATTACATCCTAGTGTCACTTAAATTTTTCGTGTGCTTAATTACTGTATATAGTTTTTTTAATTAAAACAATTATTTTACTTATTATTTTTATGTGTGTTTATTGCCTGCATGTAAATAAGTACATCCATGTTGTGCAGTGCCCACGGATGTCAGAAGAAGCTGTTGGATCCTCTGGAACTTCAGTTACAGACAGTTGTTAGCTGCCGTGTGGGTGCTGGGATTCGAACCCGGGTCTTTTGCAAGAACAACCAGTGTTCTTAACTGCTGAACCATCTCTGTAGCCCTCTATAGTTTTTTTTTTTAATATTATTTTATGTATATTGCCTGAATGTATGTAAGTGTGTCTGTGTTGTGTAGTGCCTGGTGGAGGTCAGAAGAGGTGTCAGATACCCTGGAATTGGAGTTACAGATGGCTGTTACCTACCGTGTAGGTACTGGGCTTCGAACCTGGGTCTTCTGCAAGAGCAGCCAGTACGCTTAACTGCTGAATCATCTCTCCAGTCCCAGTGTTATTTCTTATATACAAAAAATGTGCTAAAATATGTAATATTGAGGGGCTGAAAAGATGGCTCAGTGGTTAAGAGCACTTGTTGCTCTTGCAGAGGACCTTGCTTCAGTTACTAGCGATATCATCCTTAACTCAAATCCAGGGGTCAGGTGCCACCTTCTGCCTTGTGCAGGCACTAGGCATACTTATGGTAGACATGTAGACAAAGCACTCATACTCATAAAATGAATAAAATAGTTTTTAAAAATTTGTACTTGAAGTACAAGTGAAGTAGGTTTGGCTAATTGTTAGATGAAGAATAAAGACATCAAGTGTGCTTCATCTGCTTTTGTGAAAATATGGCTCTTGTAAGCCTCTTTAAATTAAATGTTACTGTGAGTAACCATAAATTGATTTTGGCAGAGGGGGAACTGTGATAATAGGATCTTTATATTCCCCAATATATCCCAGAACTATCTCAGTTTTCTGAGTGTTAGATTATAGGCATGAACCACCACATCTGACTTTCCAGTATAGCTTTCTTAATTGAGAGTATTTTACTTTATGCCTTGATTGTTAACAAAGTTAGCTTAGCTCTTGAGTTTCTATTCTAATAAACATGAATGGTTTATAAGTCTATTATAATTTCTGTTAGTAAACAATTTGTAGGTCAAGTTCTTATACGTAGTTGCTTTTGCTAAAATGACTTAGTGTGAGTAAAAGTTTTATGCTAGGGTAGTTTTTCTATGTATGTATTGTGTGGTGTATGTCTGTGCTGCATGCACATGACTGTGCTGATAATGTGCACCCATTTGTGCGTATGTTGAAGCCAGAGTCAGATGTCAGGTATCTCATTGTCTTGAGGTAAGATCTCTGAGTGAACCAGACTCTCACCATTTTGGCTAGGCTGGCTGGCTGTCTAGCCAACCTTTCTGCCTATCACCCATACCCCCATCACCTCACCACCTCCAATACTGATATTACAGGCTTGAACAGACTTTGCCATAGGTGCTTGGGATTCAAACTTGGATCCCCATTTTTGCAGGTAAAGCACTCTTACCTACTGAGCCTTCTCCCCAGAATTCCCAACCCCCATTTTTGGTGAATTTGTTTCCTGTTCCCATTTAGAAAGAAAATTATTCCCCTTGTACTATTTGTTTTCTTTTGCTTCTACTTACATCTTTTTCAGTTTTCATGCTACTGAAAGTTATCTTTTACTTTTTTCTTTTCAATCAATAGCTAGAGATGATTGCTATGGAAAATCCTGCAGACTTGAAGAAACAGTTATATGTAGAATTTGAAGGAGAACAAGGAGTGGATGAAGGAGGTGTTTCCAAAGAATTCTTCCAGTTGGTTGTGGAGGAAATCTTCAATCCAGATATTGGTAAATGTTTTAGTGATATGATTATGCTGTGTTAATCTTTTGAATTATGAACTTGTTTACCTCAGTTTATGAATAGTCTCAGCTATGGTAAATAGAAGATTTGGGTATGGATTACCTATATTTACAGATAATAATAAATTGGTGTGCTTCAGAACCTGATCTGTGTTATTCATTTTTTCAGGTTTTTATTTAGAATAGTTAAGTATTCTAATAAAAGACTGTCTTAGAATAATATATTTAGAACAGTGGAAGAGTTTTGGATTTCTTTGCTCTTTGTAGTCTAGAACTGTCAAACACATGGAGTTCTGAAACAGGAATGGTTTGAGGAAATAGTTTAGAACAACTTAAAGTAGAAACAATAGCTCATATCAAATCAACTAGGTTTATTTACTGTAAGACTTCTTGTAGGGCTGGGGTTGTGTTAGAGCACTTGTCTACAGCATGTGGTATATCACCCACAGTGGTAGAACACTTGTCTGTAGCATGTGTATATGTGAGACTCTGGGTTCAGCCCCCAAAACTTTCTCCAGATTGTGTGGGAATTAATGTAATGCTTCCTTCAGACCACTCTAGAACTTGTTTTTGTATTCCACATCTAATATTTGCTCCTGAAAGAGTTACAGATAAACATTTGAATAGAGTTTAGAGAAGGCAAATTATATATATCATTCTGATACTGCAGGATAAAAATCTTGTTTTATCCATTTCCTAATGGCAGACAAAGTGAAACAAGACGCACAACCTCTTAGATAGTTAGCTTAACTGGATTAATTCTGAGCTGGTTCAATTTCTAAACGTAAACAACTAATATATTTGTCTGTATTTCCACTAACTGGTACCATCAGAATCCTGAGGAACGCGGCATAGAATGATATGCATAGCTTCTTTTAAGATTTGAAAGTTGAGCTGGTAAAGCTTGTTGATTCTAATACTGTTGTGTATATCGAACTGATATGTTATGCTTAATCCTACATTATTTTGTATGTTGTGTATGTTTGTAATTGGAAGCAAAGATTGTCGATTCATGCCATAAATAAAGCTGAGACTAATTTATCTATATTCTCCTTAATGTTTACTATTAATCGACAATCTCTTTTATTTGTAGTTTTTTTCACAGCAAACCAGAGACACAAAACCGCCCTTTTTGAAAGATGGAAAAATTAGTTTTATGAACTATAAGCTCTAGTTTCTGATGTGTTTAGAAACAGTAAACATTAGATATAAAGTATACTATATCATGTTCAGGAATATTTATAAGAAAAAACATATTAGTCAATTCTAATGAGGTAGTAATTGAAATGATGATGGTATGAATATCAAAGTGGAATAATTTATAATAGGCATCCCTTATGGTGCTTTCCTTTCAGGGTAATGGCTTCAATAACATACTCTGCTTAATTTATAGTTTATTGTTTTGGAACTAATGACAATCATAGGTCAGCTAGAGCTTGTACTCCATGGATACTGTAACTTGGTCTGCAAAAGTATATCTCTAAACTGCAGAATTCAAGTATAAAATGAATAATTTAAGCCTAGTATTTCATTAATATAATTTGCAATAAAAGGCATCGACTTAATTTATACTTTCAGTGATTGTGGAGAAAATTTTAATTCCTTTTACATCCAAACTGAAAATACAGTATTTTAAGAACTTCAAAAAAATTCTTATAAAATGATTTCATGCTGTATTATTTGGTTTCTAAATTCTTTGTTATCTTATAAATTACAGCCCTTTCCCTCCAAGGCACTGTCTTTATGTATAGTAGGTCATAAATATTTTTAAATTCGTGATCCTCCTAAGTACTAATAGTGTAGGTGTGTATTCCCAAGTACTAATATTATAGATGTATATTCCTCCTCCCCTGGCATTTCAAACCTAATTTTATAAATGCTTCCAGAGTAGCAATTGAATAAAACTGCAGAAAAATTTAAAAGGCATATAAATTCAGTTTACCACTTGGGTATTCATTTAAAAAAAAAGACAAATTCTAGAGTAATGCTCAGATAGACAAAATATCAGCGATTTAAATAAAAGAGACTCTGAGTTTTTTTTGGAAGAACAAAGACCATATAATTGCTTTTGTTTTATATATTGGCTCATGTTTAATATGTACATTAGCTTGTAATTCTTGTACTTGATCATGTCTTTGTATATATTTTTCCTTGAGTGGACAAAGTATGACTGTAAATTAATCTTTCATGTGTCTTCATTGGTAACAAACCTTCAATTTAATGGAATTTTAAAAATATTTTACATAAATGTCACCATATTGCTTATTACTTTCTTTCTTTGGCATCTTAAAATCACGTACCACTTGGGACTAGAGAGATGGCTCAGTGGTTACGAGCATTGACTGCTCTTGTAGAGGACCCAGGTTCGATTCCCAGCACCCATGTGGTGGCTAACAACTGTCCATTAATCCCAGTTCCAGAGGAGCTGATGCTTTCTTCTGACTTCTGCTACATTGCATGACACAGGTACTCTTACATACATGCAGGCAATACACTTGTACACATAAAATAAAAAGTTTAGGAAAAAAATTACGTACTACTAATTTGCCACATTTATAATAATGAGATACTGTGTTTGGACAATGTTTTCTGTATGCAATGTAGAAAAACATTGATATTTACTATTAAGTTCTACATGTCACTTCTTTCAAAATTATTTCTTACAGGTATGTTCACATATGACGAAGCTACAAAATTATTTTGGTTTAACCCATCTTCTTTTGAAACTGAGGGTCAGTTTACTCTGATTGGCATAGTCCTAGGTCTGGCTATTTACAATAACTGTATACTGGATGTACATTTTCCCATGGTTGTCTACAGGAAGCTAATGGGGAAAAAAGGAACTTTTCGAGACTTGGGAGACTCTCACCCAGTAAGTATGCTGCCATTCTTTATTTAGTTTTAAGATACTATTGAAATGCAGCTTAATTTTTATAAAAATATTTAAAGTTTTTGGACTCTTTTGTTGATCCTGGTACCAAAGAAGATAAAGTTATTTTGATCTGGTTAAGTATCATGAACACTTAAAAATTTCAAAGGATGGGTTTCTCCGTGTATCCTGCCTTGAGACTTCATGGAGGTTCTCCTAGAGCACAATATGAAATCTATTGCCATATTGGTGATAGGAGGAATTTCTAAGCAAAGAATGAGACATGTTGACAGTCTTTCTATGTTATAAATTATTTGTGGGACAGGAGGAATACAGTCTGTTTTGTATTTGTTGACAAGTTTTATTCATAAAAAGAATGAAACAAGCTCTTTTTGAAATGATTTAGAGTTCTATAATAACCTCACTTTTCCATTTCTGGTTATTAGGTTTTATATCAAAGTTTAAAAGACTTACTGGAGTATGAAGGGAATGTAGAAGATGATATGATGATCACTTTCCAGATATCACAGACAGATCTTTTTGGCAACCCAATGATGTATGATCTAAAGGAAAATGGTGATAAAATTCCAATTACAAATGAAAATAGGAAGGTAATAAAATATTTTATCATTGTTTTGATAAAAAATAGTGTTAAAGCATTATGCTTATGGTTTTCAGTTAACTCTCTTAATATAATTTGAAGCCAAAATAAACTAATTAACCAAATTCAGGTAAATAGCAGAGTTACAGTGTACTACATCTCAGATAATAGTCATGAGAGCACACAATTTTATTCTAAACCTCTTTTCAAAGAGGACATTGACTAGGAAAGAATGAGTAGCTAAATGTGGCTACAGTATAAAGCTGGAAACAAGGCATTATCATATTAGGCTTTAGAGGTAAACAGGGCCTACTGATTAAGACCCTATTTAGTGTTACACATATTTCTACTTGAGATTAAATATACTTCTGCAAAACATTCTTCACATTAGATTTAAGTTTCTGTTAACTAAAAAAGTAGTTTTTGGAGGGAACAGGGAATAACCCAGATATAACAAAATTATGCCTTTAGGAAGCACTTGTGTTTACTTTTTGGTAAAATTCTATAATGTCAGGACACAAAGTACATTTTTGTTCTATAATTTTGTAACTTAGGTTATCAAAAAAGACACCAGCATTTTTGGTGAACTGTATAGCTTATCAAGTCTGTAGTAGAAAAAAATTTTCTGCTGTGCTCAGATTCAGTTATCATGGTTTTAGTGCATCTGTATTTGCATACTTATTCCAGGGAACCTGAAAAATTGTATCGAGGCCACAGTAATTTTCTTTGTATACATTTTTATTTTTTAAAAAATATTTCTGGATGGTGTTCCCTTGGGTGGGAGGTTGAAAACCAACCATGCAGCCTAATAACTTATTGTGTTCTTTGTCACATAATAAGAATTTCTTGTGATTGATGTTTTCTACAGGAATTTGTCAATCTTTATTCTGACTACATTCTCAATAAGTCAGTAGAAAAACAATTCAAGGCGTTTCGCCGAGGTTTTCATATGGTGACTAATGAATCTCCTTTAAAGTATTTATTCAGACCAGAAGAAATTGAATTGCTTATATGTGGTAGTAGGGTAAGAAAGATATTTTCAAAGAACTCATAATTTACCATTTGTAATGGTATACTATAGATGTTAAGATGTATTTTCTTGAATTTTCAGAATCTAGATTTCCAGGCACTAGAAGAAACTACAGAATATGACGGTGGCTATACCAGAGACTCTGTTGTGATTAGGTGAGGTGCTTAACTCTTAAAAGGATGCTTTTATTCACCAAAGAAGTGTGTGTGTTTCAGACTTGTATTCTTGGTACTACTATTTCCCAAATAAGCAAACTCGAAAATTCAAAAAGTAGACCTGTATTAATATTACTGGTTTTCATATAATCTCATGGTTTATTTCATGAATGAAGTGGTTTATGTAAGTCTCACTTTTTTCCCTGTGTTTGGGTTGTAAATTGTCAGATATTTCTCCTAATGTGTGAAATGGTACATTCTTTATTTACTCTTTCAGATGTATGGAAAGAGCCATGTATACTAGTGTTTTTGAATAATTCTAAGTAGCTATTGCTAGTACTATCTTTGTCCTGTCACTGTGCCTACTTCTCTGTACTGTGCTAATACTGAAAGACAGCTTTTCCTATTATCCTCTAGTGAGATTGGTCAAAATAAGAGATGCCCTTTTGGTACCTACTATTTGGGTGTAGTCAAAGGCATTCAAACAATTACCTTCCTGGGAGGTTATTACAGCTGTAGGAGTCATTCAAACTTGTGAATACCAGAATGATTATTAACTATATCTAATAATAATACATTACTTTGGTTAATTTAATATTACATTACAATTTTAATTTTCATCTAGGTTTGTAGATTGCTGTTTTTCCTTTCTGGCAACAGTCACAAACATATTTTCTCATAGGAATCATTATCTTGCTGCTAATATATTTTAAGAGGCAGTTCATGAAAGGATTGAAATTACAGGTGATAAGAAAATCCTACTTATTAATTACAGGAATGAATATCACAACATTTTTTCTGCAACAGTTTTGATACTAGATACACCTTTAACAGAGTTATTTTGAGAAAAGAAGCATCTTTAAATGCTTTTTTTATTCTCGTTTGTTTTTGAAATTAGTAGAAATGTCTCGTACTATTGTTTCTGGAGAAATTATCTTAGAAATTAAAATTTTCAGTTTTTAGAACAATACTGTTCCTGCGTAATACATACCGTAAGATTATTTGTGAATGTATGGTTTCATGGGCAAATAAATACCATAAAATTACAACAGTTTCATAGCTTCAAACTTAACATTCACAGTTCAGAATATCTTAAACTCTCTGAAACTACTGCTTGATTTTTGTCAGTACAAAATGAGAATAATCACTGATTTCCACAGGTCATGGACATCAAAGACTAAAATAATCTTGTGAGGATAATGAGACCTGCTAAAAACTGACACAGTCCAAGTATCTGATTGAAATTTATCTCATGTATTCAGAATTTATAAATTCAAATTCACAAGCACAGTTTTTTGCATGCATTTTTCCATTTGGAAAAGTTCTACCTAATTTTATTTTTTTTACTGCACAGAGATATTTTTTAATGTTTCTCCCCTTCATTTTTTTGGAATTGAAGGCAAGAATTTATATTTTTAATAGATGATATCTATTTGAGAGACTTAATTCAGCTTTGTATTTTATTTCCCTACTTCATAGGTTTTCAATTGTACTTCTATCTAGAGGTACTTTAAATTTATCATAAGTGATGAAAGCCTAGATTTAATTCATTAAGGGCTACAAGGTCATGATACTGTTCTTTTGTATTCCCCTTTTTATTATGTGTAATATTTCTTAAGTATTACTCTAATAGTAATCAGTTTTTCAGTTAATCAGAATTACAAACCATGTATATTGTATAGCTGGCTTTCAGTATAAATGAGTTTCTCACAGTTGACTGATTTTCAAAATTTTGGGCAACTTAACTGTTCTCCCAGTATTACCAGTATAGTCTTGGTGATGATGGTGCTGATGTTGTTTGAGATGGTAAGATTTGAATACAGTGAAATATGCAGAACTTCACTGGATATCAGAAAATTTTACCCTTGCAACATTTCTCAGTCAAGATATAGATCCCCATTATCCAAGTTCCGATGAGCATCCTTCCAGTTGATTACTTCTGACAGGCAACTACTGTTTCCACTTCTGTAACATTAGGCCCCCCCCCTTGAATTTCATATAAATGAAGTCGTGCAATTTTAGGATTCATCCATGTTATTGCATTAATTTATAGTTTACTGTTCTATGGTTGCGTTAGATAAATACACAACATTTGTTTATCCCTTCTCCTGTTGGACAATTGGATTGTCTTGAGATTAAATCTGTTATTAATAAAATTATACAGTCTTACTGTGGAAGTGTTTTTATTTCTCTCACAGAAACATACAGGAGGCAGAGGTTTGTGGTTGTACAGTAGGTACAGTTTTAACTTTATAAAGCAATGCAATAGTGTTTTTCCAAAGTGGCAGTGCCATTTTACACTGTGACCAGCAGTGCCAAGTTGCAGTTCTTCATCTTCTCTAATACTTGGTAGTACTTGTCTTTATAGTCATCTTGGTGAATGTGAAATGGTATGCAAGTTTGGATTTGTCTGTCTCTGATAATAAATGATGTGAGCTGTCTTTATTGTAAATCATAACTTTGTGAAGTGTCTTACCCATTTTTTAATTAGGTTTTTTGTCTTTCCACTGGTTATAAATGTTTTTCTTTAAATTTATTCTAGATAAGGCCATTATTGGAATATTATGCATATGTTCTTCTAATCTGTAGATTTTTTTTATTCCCCCACTGAATTTGTTTGGTTCTTTGTTGAAAATCAGTTTATGTGTGAGTTAATTCTTGACTGAGTTCTGCTTTGCAGATTGATTTGTCTTTTGGTCAAAATCACACCTTGGTGATTCGTTTAGCTTTACAGAGTAAATCTTAAATCAGACGTCATGAATCTTTTTCATTGTGCTCAATAGCTTTCACTATTTTTTCTTTCGTATAAATATTAGAATCAATTTGGCGATAATTTTGCATGAAAAGAAAAATCCCTTTGAAATTTTGATATGGTTTGCTTTGGGATTTCAATTTGAAAATTTCCAATTTTTTCAGTGTGAAATCTCTCAACCTTGAACATGTAGATAACTATCCATTTATTTAGATATTAATTCCTGCTAGCATTGTTTTGTAATTTTAGTGTTGAAATAATGCGTGTTTTGGTTAGGAATAAATATGCGTATTACATGATTTTGATGATTTATTTCATTGTTCATCTGGGTATGGGCTCATCATCTTGAAATAAAATATATTTTTGTATATTAGGCTTGTATTTTGTGATCCTTCTAAATTCACTTATTCTAGTGGTTTTTTAGTAAACTCTTCAGGATTTTCTATGTAATCGTGTCACTTACAAATCAAAATACAGTTAACTTTTTTTTTCTTGTAAATCCTTAAGCCACTTTCTACCTTTCTGTATTACAATGACTGGCTGGAATGTTTGTGATTAGTCTTTTGTCGAAGGAAAAATGACTGGTTTGTTCTTTTGTCAGACCCCTAAAGCATTGTCTATAATTTCCATATTAATTGCTTATCATTTAGGTGTTCATTGGAGTAAGCACTTTTACCTTCTTTCAAGAACTTTTTCTTTCCATTCACAACTACCCAAGCTTTCCTCTTTGAACACTTAAGTTTAATAAATTTTTAGCTTTCGATTTAAAGTCAGAAATGGAATACCTTCTTTCATTGTAAGATTTAAGTCAATTTTAGGGGTTTTGCTTATCCTGATTTCAGCCTTGTGTCTCAGGGAGCAAGGGAGCTCAAGGATGATGGGAGGTGGAGGTGGAATATATGGGAACTGCAAGTTACTAGAAGAGCCAGAATACACTTTTAGTGGCAAGTTCATTTCCTTATATGAGCATGGTTTTTGGTGTCTCCAAGCAACTATAGTAGTAACATTAATTAGCACTGATTACAATTCACCAGGACATACATAAAAGAAAGGAAAAATTTGAAATATGAAAATTACCAACATGTGTCAGAGGCACACAAAGTAAGCACATGTTTTGGGGCAAAACTACTTGATGTGCAAATTGAGTTTAAAAGAAAATTAAAGGATTACAGTGATACCTATACAATATTATATCATCAAAAGTTTTTACTTCACTTGAGATAAATACCAATTGTGTGGTTTCATTTTTATTGCTGAGTCTTGAGTGTTCTACATATTTGTAGATATGCTATTGTTGTGTCATTGAATTTCTTTTTTCATGTCAACAATTGGACATGTTTTTTTTCAGCTTTTTTTAAAAAATATTTTCATTTTATATGGATGTATGTATTGTCTGCATGTAGGTAAGTGCACCTGGGTTGTGCAATGCCGGTGGAGGTCAGAAGAGGCTGTTGGATCCCCTGGGACTGGAGTTATGGACAGTTGTTAGCTGTCATGTGGGTACTGGGATCTGAACTTGGGTCTTCTGCAAGAACAACCAGTGTTCTTCATCTTTTTGTAGATTTGTCTCTTTATGTTGAATATTTATTTTGAGGCTCTGACATTTGATGTTTACACATTAAGAATCATTGTCATCTTTCTGGGTTAGTGCTTTATCATTGTAAAAGATCTCTGTTGTGCCTTATAATTTTCTTTGTTCTAATTCTTAAATGAGTACAGTCATTCTTGTTTTTTAAAAAAGTAATGTTCGCACGATCTTTCCCTATTTTCCTTTTCAACCTGTGGTGAAATTAATTTATCGACAAGATGTTATTGAATCATTAAACAAAAAACATTTTGAGGTTGATATGGTAGTCCATGCCTGTAATTCCAGCACACAGGAAGCAGAGGCATGTAGATAGATCTCTGTGAGTTCAAGGCCAACCTGGTCTAAGACCACATTGTGAGACACTGTCTCAAAAAACCCAACAGAAACCCATTCTTTCACTCTCCTTTTTAGTTAATGCACTTAAACCCTTATTACATAAAGTGATGATTAGTATGTTGGGATTTCATTTGGCTTATTTGTTGACTTATTTATTCATTTATTTTTGACACAGATTGTCCCTATAGCTGCAGCTGGCCTAGAAACCATGTAGACCAGGCTAGCTTCGACCTGCCTGCCTCTGCCTCCTGAATGCTGAAATTAAAGTCAGGTGCCACCATACCTGGCTGTCATTTGGCTCTTACCAGTTGTTTTCTGTTTCTA